CAATAGTTGATGGGGGGGGGGGGGGGGGGGTGATTCCTCTGTAATCAGCCTCCTCTTAGTCTCCTTTAATCACCAAAAAGCCTTAATAACTATTAAAAATGTGACTTTCAGCTGATACTCACTAGAACAAATGAACTAGTTACTCCTATTTGAGTTATGTTTGCTAAAACTAGAGTGTAGTTGTTTTAGGAAAGGATTCAGCCTTTTTCTTTAAAATCAAACTATATGTGTGACCTGTTTGAGGTGATTTAAATCTTCAGTGTGATCTGAAGCTTGGAGCTGAGCGATGGGCCACAGATTGTTGGTTTGGGTCTTATAATGGGATCTGTAGGCCAGAAGAAATGGAGACATTCCAAATTCATTCCTTAACAGTATTATGGTAGTGGTACATGAAGGCCTCGTTGGGGTCACAGTGGAGCAGGCAACTCCATGTTTGTGTGTCTGACTTTGTGTTCAGGTTGAGATGAATTTTGGAAAATTGTTTATTTTCCTCTGAGCCGGTGCTGCATCGAGCCGGCACCGAGGTGTCCTGGCCTCTTATGTAACTGAAAGAACTGGCCAGAGGCTGATGGTGGGGGATACGTCTCTGAAGCCTAAATGTTTATTTTCAGCCTCTGTTCTTAATAGTTTGGAGGAGCTGAGTCGACGTTCACATCTGTCGCCGGCTCCTGGCAAACTCCTCTCAGCTCCCACTGCTGTCTGTCCTGATGCAACCTGCTGAGGTATCTGCTGTTGTGCAGGTCAAAGGTCAGAGGAGTAAGTGTGACACTTGGAAGTCTTGATTAAATGTAAACACTGTCAAAAGGTTGGAGTGTGGGACAGCCTGTGCTCTCTGTGCTGAGGTTTTCCTTTTCATTAAGGGGTTTTAGAGCAGTCACTTGAGAGTTGACGTCATCTGTAGCAGTTTCTCAGCCTGGAGGCAAACAGGAAAAACGGTTTGTGAGGGGCATGTTATCGTTTTGTAATAACAGCTGCGTTTGTCATGTGAAAGGAGTAAAATTTGCAGCATTTTCTCCTTCATTAAATTGAGCTGTATTGAACTTGTGTACTTCAGGAGTATTGGATGAAATCCAGCTGTGTATCAAAGTGTCATGTCCTTATAGTTGGCACTGAATCCTTAGTCTGGTCAGTGCTCTTGTTTTCTTGTTCTTTAATCAGATATATCCTGATTTAAAATAGTCATTTTACAATTTTTAGACCACAGGTAACTTTCCTGAACACCAGACACCGTGCGTTATACTGCTATATGTTCCTTTCTTTGCTAACGTTAGCCACTGAGGCTGCAGCAGCGATCTCCTGCATATTTTATTGCTTATGAATTAATCTTTTCATTAGAAGAAACACACAGTTACACAATCTTGTTTCAAGTGGGCATGTAGCCGGTTTACTGGTAAAGTTTCTTATTTTCAAACACAATCCAGGTTTTATAATCTACAAAATCTAGGGCTGCAACTAAGAATAACTTTTTATTATGGATTAATTTGCAGATTATTCTTGAGTAACAATTTAAATACTTTGTCTGTAAAATAACAGTTCTTTTAAACATGACCAATCACAATGTCCCAGAGCTTATTGTAATTAGGGATGGTATCGTTAGGATTTTATCGATACCAATACTACTTATTGATACTACGCTCCATAATTTTTTGCAGAAAATAAAGAAGAAGATATGAAAGAATTCAACAGTGTGGGATAAAATGTGCAAAATAACTTTTATGTAGCAATAAAAAGAGGAAATGTTTTCTTCTTCAGTACCAAAAACAGGACTGTTGATGCCAGGGCCTGTTGATACTACAGTATTTAATAATTTAGTACCATTGCCCATTTAGCTTCGGTGCCCATCCCTAATTGTAATGTCTTCAAATACTTGGTTTGTCCCACAAGACAGTTCAAAATCTAAACATATCCATTTTATGATTATGTTCAACAGAGAAAGCAGAATTTTTTTTTTTTAAATCTTTGCTCAAAAATCACTTGATTATCAACATTGTTGCTGATTAATTTCAGTGATAGATCAAATGTTAAAGCAGTCATAGTGTCATAGGCTACAGTTTTTTTGTGTGTGAATTAGCTTTTTATTATTTAACCCAAACTATTTTTGATGAGCCTCTCAGACCTCAGGAACAATCCAGGTTTCTTTACAGGCTCCTGTGTGGCACCGCTTTTGAACCAGTGTTTTTTTTCCTTCAGGTTGATTTAGTTTGTCTTGTTGAGATAAAAACATTCACACTTGAGAGACGCCAAAGAACTGCACTGAGAAGCAGTTTGTTTTGCATAGAATGAAGAGCTGAACAACATGTACTCAGTGTAAATTCCAGGTGGGATCTCTTTTCATTTATTTGAAGTAACCTCTAGGAGACGGTCACAACCAAACGTGTACAGACATCTGCCGTTCCTAGGTGATGCTGCAGGGGCTGATTAGTTGCAACTCTAACCTTGTGAGATCAGACGAGTTTACCCCAAACATGCAGTAAATGATCTACTGAGGAGCCCACAGGATTTAGTTTACAAACCTCATATCAGTGGTAACTGAGGCAACACAAAAACGCAATAAGGGAGAGTTTCCACTCAGATCTGGACTTAGGAAGGCGACCAACTGTGTGTGATTTGGTCTGAAAATGTATTGATGACAACACAGATTGCGTAACCGGGACAGCTGTGCATCATCGCAGTGGTATGATTGAATCCTCAGCAGGTTTACGTCTTCGATCTAAGGCTTGTATTACGTGGTGAATCATCTCTTCTTTGTGTTTTTCCACTGATTCTGTTTGCTGCATGACATGGCTGACAAAGTATTCCCTTATACCCACTGGTTTGTTGGTTTTCGCATGTCCCAGTTGACAGAAGGCTTGTGTCTGCTACAGTATGTAGGACAGGACAGACTGTGCCAGAAACTTTAACAAAGGCACACAGTTTTTGAAAAGCAAAGCATTTTTACATTTGTCTCTTACAGACAACCTGAACAGGTCTGTTCAGATTCACTCTTCTTCTCTAGTAACCAGGAAAGATAAAGTTCCTCTCCTCGAGCAGCAGTGACACAGAAAACAGCTCAGATTTATTCCTCTGTACTTTCTGGGAGCCCGGGAGAGTATTTCCAGTGTAATGATGGGCAGAGTTGGGATTACAGGCGTGCTGTAATGACGGTGAGGAGACCTCAGGCTCAGTTCTGAGCTCTTCTTCTTCACCTCTTCCTCCTTGTCTTGGCTCAGTTTGTTAACATGGCTTCCAAGCCGGTTGACTCCATCCTGACTGGAGTTCATAATTAGCCCCTCAGTTGTCTCAGAGCCTGGAATGAAATGAGATTTATTCCAGTAGCTCCAGCCCCTGGTGTTACTTGGTGCAGTTGAACATATACAGGACTATTTTGGATTTGGGATTTCAGACAATACTTATTATTTTTATGGTAATATTTTAGTTTGAGCCTGTTTTCTAGGAGACTGATAAAATACAGTTGATAGGAGAGATTTATCATATTGACATTTATAGAAATGCTCCAACAATGGCTGCAGATGTTAATTTTAAATATTTTTTTACATTTCACTACATTTTCCAGAATGCTTTTTCCAGCTCCATAGAGTAGTCTGAACCTTGAATTCCACATTGGTTCCTGTTGTTGTTTATTTAGAAATGTCTTGTGGCAGTACAGCTACACTGTCTAATCCACGAGAGTGAAATCTGTCGCAACGAGCGGTTCTTTGGCGACGCAAATTGTCGGCACCACAGGCTGCGCAGTGCACTCGGGGCATCACACAAGGACGTCCAGACCCAGTTCACAGCCAGAGGGGTCAGTCAAGATGCTAAACAACATGTCTCCACGTTATTCCAGATCTTTGTAGCTGTATGTTCGAGCAGCGCGCCCTGCAGCGTTGCACTAAATGTGAAAACAGCACCCGCTGTTTGTCACCATCTGTTTACGTCTCGGGTCGACTCCAGCAGGCCCAGCTTCAGGACAGAAGGCTGCATCGGGGCGTTCCCGTGGACCTGTGGGTTCAAATCTGTTGCTTGGTTTACTGCTGTCGCTTATTTCACTCCCCGCTGGGAGAACAGAGATGAATAATAAAGATGCACAATTAAGCAACAATTCATTATCTCAACAAGATGTTTGAGATTCACAGGTCAAATAAGGATCATTTTTCTAAAGAGTAACATTTTATTTTTAATGAATTTTTAATCTTTTTAACCATTTTTACAGCAAATAAAGGATTTGGTGGTTGTAACCTTAAATGTGAGAATTTCCTTAATTTTCTTAGTTTTATCTCATTGATGTGACTGTTTTTCAGTCTACGTCAGCAATAAAAGGACGTCATTTGGACTGGCTCACCTGTCCAAATGACACGTTTATAGACAGTTGACTAATGTACTTGGTCTCAGAAATATTGAATATATTCACTATTTCACTGTACTTGGTCATAGAAGGTTAGTACGTAGAAATATTTTAAAATCGTGTCTGAAGAATAAACATGAAAAATGCACAGCCACATTTTTAAGGATTGGTTCATATTTTAAGAATTTGGATACAGCTTTAAAATATGAGGATCATCTTTGTTTTGTATTAAATAATGGATTCTTTAAAAACCTGCTTGTGTACACTAAAGCATTATAAAATGGGGGTGAAAGCCTGTGGGTTGCACAAAGAGAGCAGCAACGGTTAAAAATAAGTGTTTTAAGTCGGTAGTAAAACCGAAAACCGGCTAGCTAGCCCTGTATGGTAGCGACTTCACAAAGCTGACTGTGGAAGTCAGTATGCTAATGTTAGCTGCATCACTGCTATTTAATGAATATGGTTCAGTCAAGTATGCTTATTTTTATCTTGTCTTTTGTATGAGAGCGCAGAGTAGCAAAATATTTCTATTAACTATGTTGAAATGGCAGTGAAGCACTGAGTAAATTATAAACCCTTCTCTTTCATTTTCAGCTCTTCAGAGAAGTTAGAATAATGAAGATCTTGAATCATCCTAATATAGGTAAGTGGATATTAAGGTTCATTGATGGAGTATTTTAGCTCAAGCAACAACAATTCACATGAGTTTTAAGAATTTAAGACCTGAATTTCCACATGTATATGAGGCTGCGTTCTTTTGCACAGAGACGCCAACATGAAGATAAAATGCCCCAGATTAACTTTGACATTTATCCCCTGAAACGGTGAAAAATGTCATTTTCAAATAGCTTTTTCTGATCGACCAACCAAAGACATGCCGTTTACTGTAAAGTAATCCTTGACTACAGGGTTACATTATGCAGTTGTTTTGCTGACTTTGAAAACGCCCCATTATTTTTGTTTGCGACAGGGGCACCATGTTATCCTGTGTTTGTGTTCGTTATCATCTCTTTGCCAATGCCTGCAGTGTTACCAACTTGGAACTGGATCAGAAATGAAGCCGCTTATCTCAGCCCTTCCCTAGTGCTGCACTTGAGTTGTACTGTGTTATACAGGTGTTTCTAATGTATTGCACACCTCATTTATATCTGTGAGGGTAGGCAAAATAATAAAGCAAACAAAATCAACAAAAGGCCTTCAAACTCTGAAAGATGCCTCAATATGTTTTATTCTATTTTGAGGCATCCTTCAGGGTGTGAAGGCCTTCTGTCGGTTTGGTTTGATGAACTTCAGCTGAGCCACCTGACTCATACCTTCAGTGCAGTCTTTCCTGAATAATAGTAGGCAAATATTACAAATGTCTCTACAGACTACAGCTTCCAAAATGTTGAATCAACAGCCCTCTGTGACAATCTGAGCACAAACTGAACATTATCACCTTCCTGCAGAAGGATTTATTGTGGGACTGGATTAGACTGACTTAGTTGTAGCTTGGTGTGCCTAATAAATTGGCAAATGAACATTATAACCTCCATAAATGAAGGATTTACTGCGGGAATGTCGTACTAGACTGGCAGCTGAGTGTAATGCTTGTCATCAAACAAACACAGACTGCTGACGTCAGACGATCCTGCCGTGGTGTGTTTGATTCTGAAGACGGGGTTCCCTGCTAATTACTTTTAATTTCCTTTCGCTGTGCTTCATGATTTCCTTTGCAGAAATGTGATCATTATTACCAGGCTGATAGTAAGAGCTTAGGCCCATACTGTCTCTCTCTCTCTCTCTCTCTGTCTTCCTTCCCACTTTGTCTATATTTAGCAGTGCAGCCACTCATCACGCAGTCTATTATACCTTTGAGCTGAACACACTGCGGTTAAAAAAAAAAAAAACAGCTTTCAGGCGTACGGTAAATATTGAGCGCTGCTCAGCTCGATGTTCTACATGGTCGTGACACACAGATCCATGTGACTTCACTTTCCCCTTCTACTCTTTCTAGGTGTCTGGAAGCATTTTGGGATCTCGTCTCTATGCAATTCATTTCCGTCTGTGACTGAATCTCCCACATTTGTAGGCATAACTCAGTTTATAATTTCCTCTCTCTCTCCCTCCTTCAGTCAAACTATTTGAAGTGATTGAGACGGAGAGAACGCTCTACCTGGTGATGGAGTACGCCAGCGGAGGTGAGACAGAAATAAACACATTTTGATGCTGCGAACTGAAAGCAGTGCACCTCCAACATGTCAGACCTGACTTAGCTCTGTTAGTAGAATGAAAATCCATTGTAGGCATTTCTCACGATCAGTTTTATGAGCACAATAAATTGGAGAATATTCCAGTTTTCCTGTAAATTAAACTGTAAAACAAGAAACATTTGCACCCTTATCTCTTCAGCTGGTGCACAGAAGAACAGATACAGGTGGTGGAAACCTGCACAGCGTCTGCTGCTGCCAAGGGCTCGAGTAGAATTTATTAACATCAAATATGACAAATGCATTCATAATTTAAGCACCTTGAGGGTGATGCATTGTCTGCAGACTCAGCTTCTACCCGAACGGCAAATACAGAAGAACAAGTCTGAGTAGTATTTAAGGTTTGTCCTTAAACAAATGTGAATAAATTCATGTAAGGACACGAGTCGTACTGATGCTGGATCAGTTGGTTACAGAAAACACTGATGCGCTGTCGAGTCACAACTTGAGCATGAAATCAGCATCTTCACAATGAAATGTAGGGTGATGATGATAATTGTTTGGAGCAGGTAATGCAGTATTTTTAAGCCTCCGTGTCAGCGACAGCTCATCGTCATTGTTATTTATGCTTTCACGTTGTCCATCAGGCCCATTGTTGTGAACGCGATATCTCAGGGACGCCTTGAGGGAATTTATTCAAATTTGGCATAAGTGTACAATTGGACTCGAGGATGAACTGATTAGATTTTGGTGGTCAAAGGTCAAGGTCACAGTGACCTCACATCTGCGGATTTGACTGGGTTGGCAGAGACGTACAACCGTGAAGTGGTAATTCTAGTTTGAATCTGTTTTTCCCCAGTAACCTCCTTATTGTTTTCTTAAAGGTTTCCAGGAAAGAACAGTGTAATTTGAGCAGAATTATGAAGTAATCCTTTTAAAGTCAAAGAAATACTCCATTATACATTCAGAGCTAGGGGAAGGGATGGTGACGAGCGAGTCCACAAAAAATGCAGAGAGGGGTGAGGCAGAGCAGCAAAACATGTTGGTCAGCTTGTGCCCTGCTTCTCTGAAAACTAAATGGAAAGTATTTTCACTGTAGGCTATTTCAGTATAAATGTATTGGTAGAGATAATGTGTTCAGTGTCGTTCTGATATCCAGGCACTTCCTCTACTGGGTGAAACATGAGTGTACTTCCTCTGCTGTGGCAACCCATACCTTACTGCGACCAAATCTCACGTTTTAGCGATGAGCCTGTAAAGGGAAATTAGCACCACATTTGTCTTCCCAATTATTTAGACAAGTACCTTTGTGCTGCAGCACCAGAAGAAGAAGAAAGAGGTGGATTCATTAACCAAGGCAAATACAAGTGAGGAAAACAATTCCCGGAAATGCTTCCAGCGGTGATTTAATATGTATAAAGACAAACATGTTGACATTAATTCATAACCGATGGTAGCCGGCATTTCAGTGTTGCACATCATCCTCCTCAGAGTTCTGTGCATGTGTGCCCTTATTTATGTCTTTTATTTATGTCTCTGGAGAAAATGGTGACAAAGCAGCAGGAAACAAAGAAATCCTTTATACAGCTGTGAGAGCAACAGCTTCTCTCCACCAGTGAGTTTAACGCTGGGAGTTTTCTTGTGCGAAACGTTTTTCTAATTTCTTATTATATGTAGGGTCACACGTACCCAGACGCTAAAAGGTGCATCTTGTTATTGATTTCCTGGAAAGGTTTATTCGAACTACTGAGCAAAGCCGAGACAACAAATCCTATTACCACTGAGATGGGAGCTCTGATCAGAGGCCTGTTGGAATAGGTTAATGAAGTAAATCTAATATTTCTCTGTTTGCCATTGACTTTCTTAGAATTCGTGCAAAATCTCAAGGCGCCCCTCAGCTCTCTGTCGCAGATCTTCACCTAGCCCCGATCCAGAACCACATGGAGCTCTTCACAAACTTGTGAAACAGCAGCATTCTTTGGGCAACTCAGTTGGGCAGTGTAGCTCCAGTAGTTGCACCAGCATTATTTAATTATACAGGAAGCTCAGGTGAAAACATAATGTCAGGTTCTTAAACATGAGTTTAAGCCTCACAATCTTAATTTCTTGGTTTTCTTTTTGCATGTATGTGTGATTTTGCTGTTTTGTTCCCTAATCTCATCCCCATGTGCAGCACATAGTGTGTCCTTTAGCTCTGACATCCAAAGTGTTAGCTGGTGCGATTTGTCTTTATGTGTTGAGTCGAAGAGTGGCAGTGAATTGTTGCTTTTCTTAAGCTCTAAGTCGAGAATCGCACTTCAGCAGCCCCTGCAGGTCAGCGCTGAGAGAGTGGGAGTGTTTTGAGGATTGAAGAAAAGTGGGGGAGGCTTTTTGCAGGTTTTGTTGCTTGTTATTCTCTTTTTGCCTTGCTATGGACACGCACACATGCCAGCCACTCTAGTTCACTTAGCACACGAGCGAGCATTGTCATGTTTTGGCAGGAACTGTTCAGAAGTGTGGGCCGAGGGAAGGGTCTGCTGCTGGAGCCGAGCCTGGCGACAGATTTGTGCCTCCAGGGGAGGCTCAGTGTGGAGAAAGGGGTGCTCGCCTCAGTATGGTCAAGAAACACCCTCAAACCATGCACAGCTGCATAGAAAAGTTCACTGTGGGGTTATTTTTATAAGTTGTGACTCACTTTTTGTGCATCTCTCTCTGCTTTCTCAGTCATTGCTCTTACTGTCTCCCTCAGTTTTCGGTACAGACTTTGTGTAATTCCCCTCTCTCTTTCTTCTGCAGGAGAGGTGTTTGACTACCTGGTTGCACATGGAAGGATGAAGGAAAAAGAGGCCAGGGCTAAATTTAGACAGGTACCCAGCTTTCTCCCCCTGCAGTGTTCCGGTTTCACACCTCTGCTCCTGGCTCTGTCTCAGACAGCCTGCTGTCCTGCCTCTGTTGTCTAGAGACTGAGGGGAAATGTCCAGACTGGTCTCTTTCACCATCATGAATGTCACTGACTGTTGTGGGAAGATAAGAAACTGACCGATGGTTATTGTGTCAGATCTTCTAGAGATCCCAAATTAGCGAGCCTGATTTAAAACTTGGGTACTCACAGTGAGGTTGTCTCTGTAAACTCAGCAGCTGCATTTCAGTGAGTCATGGAAGTATTTTCAATTTTCTAAAAGAAAACCTCAAAATCAAAGGTTTTGTTAGAGCAGGCTGAAATCCTGGATCAAAATTATGATGGAACGTAGCTGCAGTTTCATTCAAAATGGTGTACAGTGTTACAATAACTGACAGACTGGCAGAATATTTATTACTCACATCAGAAGTGCTAAATTAAATCCTTGTTGAGGCCGAGTGCGAGGTTATTTAGTTGAACAAGAAGTGGATGGATACCCAAAAAATTCATGAAACCTGGTTTAACATTTTAGGAATTTCTGTGTAGCCTTTAATGCTGATGTCTAACCACCACTTGGCACGACACAAAGTTCAGCCTTGCTCATTCTTTATGGGACACAGCTAAATTGCTTTGCTAGGCATTGTGGGATACCAGCCAGTTAGGGCTGGCTCACAATGTGACCAAAGAGGAGGAGTCAAAAAGCTTTTTGCAAACAAATGTGGATGATTTGCTTCAATAATAGGTACTGCAAACAAACCTGTTAGTGCTCAGGCTCGCAAAGGCAAGAGATCCTGGTAGCAGACAAGATGCCGGACTGCCAACCTCCGCAGGAAGTTGGCGTTATTAGCCTTTGTTGTCAGCTTCTAGGGGAGGCTGATGATGGTGCACGAACCTTGGGTGCACTCCCCCATCTTGTCTGCAGCCAGGTCCCTATGGGCAAAAGGGTTTCTACACAGATGTCATGGTTTAAGGTGAAATGTCTTCAAAACATTTTACCACCACTTCACCCAGTTTAATTTGGAGCTGAAGATGCAAAACTGTGATGATTAAAACTAAAGGAAGATGGATCTAAAGCACTAAGTTTCTAAAGTGAATGTAGGAACGTGAATGTGTCCTCATGACAGTGCATCACAGTCAGATGAATGTACATGGTGCCACTGGAGAGGAAACCAGTTCTTTCTCTTTCCTCAGCCCTGTATTTGTTTTATCTTCACTGCTAGTGTCAACCACATCTGCTACTCCTCCACCGCCACTTCCTTTATCACCCTCTGAGAACATAACATCAGACTTCAACTAAACTCTGCTTGTCTTTTCCTTGTACAGATTGTATCGGCGGTGCAGTACTGCCATCAGAAGCACATTGTTCATAGAGACCTCAAGGTGAGTTCAGAGAAACCACATGGATTAATTTGTGCCAGAAGAGGCTGAGGCAGCTTTTTCAACACTGATAGTAACTTTAAGATACTCAGAGTGCACATGATGGGGACTGAAAAAAGCAGAGTGTGCAGCCATCATCAGTGTTGTGTGTTTTTATGACTTGTCTTAAATCCCGGCGCCATGTCTTCTGATGAGGAAGCAGAGGCTGAGGGCTCAGAGGTGGACTCGTCCATCACCCAAGCTGAAGTCACTGAGGTAGTCAAGAAGCTTCTCGGTGGTAAGGCACCGGGGGTGGATGAGATCTGCCCTGAGTACCTTAAGTCTCTGGATGTTGTTGGGCTGTCTTGGTTGACACGCCTCTGCAACGTCGCATGGCGGTCGGGGACAGTGCCTCTGGACTGGCAGACCAGGGTGGTGGTCCCTCTTTTTAAGAAGGGGGACCGGAGCGTGTGTTCCAACTATAGGGGGATCACACTCCTCAGCCTCCCCGGGAAAGTCTATGCCAGGGTACTTGAGAGGAGAATTCGACCGATAGTCGAACCTCGGATTCAGGAGGAACAATGCGGTTTTTGTCCTGGCCGTGGAACACTGGACCAGCTCTATACCCTCTTCAGGGTGGCGGAGGGTTCATGGGAGTTTGCCCAACCAGTCCACATGTGTTTCGTGGATCTGGAGAAGGCATTCAACC